CTGTGGACCAATCAGAGCGTCTGTAAGGTGAATTTGGGCTGCTGTACTTTATAAACGTCACAGTAAAATGTTAGCGTGTCCCACTTAAATGACAGGAAAAAATCTAGATGACTGTTGATCTAAACTACATGACCATGCACATTCACCTACAGACACTACGTTACCCACAATGCCCCAGTGTCTTTCCTTTCAGCTCCTTCAGTTTCCAGAGTCAGTCAGTCTGTACGGGAACTGTTCTCTGTTCGGATCCAGCAACAGAAAAACATGAACATACAAACGATTGATTATCTACATTTAACAGTAAATCAGTCAAAGCTAATGCTAATGTTAGCGGCTAACCACTTAGCCTGGCAAGGAAACGCATATCACACATTTGTGAAGTGAGCAGCTTATAAAACCTAATTAAATTTAATACTGTATTTCATTTTCAAATGAAAGTCTCTCTGTAATGTTATTAATTTCTCATTTTCTAAGCTTTTCAAAAGTTCAACAACTGCACTTCTTTTTATTTCATGTGTATTTGTGCAAAATCATTCATTACAGTATCAGGAGAACACAGAGAAGAACTGGGAGATGAATGTTGGTGGTCGGGGGTTTAAGATCTACAGTGCTCAGCAGAAGGACTAGTTTATGACTGAAGCCGCTTTGGTTTGGTAAACATGAATGTAGTAACTGAAACTAACCTACGTTTAAGCTGACGTTCAACTGATGCAGTCGACCCCCGAGACCCCCACTGTGACATACAGCCCATCAACTCTTACTGCACAAGCAGCTCTTTATTATATCCATCTTATTTAAACACAAACGGATTTAAAATTTAAAACATCTAAATGCCACTTTAGCCCATTAAAAGAAGAGGTTAATAAAATCAACTTGGCTGTAAAGAAATGGGAAAAATCCTGATTGATTACTTCTACATACTATATGGTGACATTAGCTACGTAATATCAGAAATCCCTTCTGCCAAAAAACTAATCTCCTTCAGCGTCACAGCGACATTAAACTGTGAATATCAGGTTGAGTTTCGCTTTTTCAGTATTTTTCAGTATTAACTGAATGAGGTTTTGATCCAGTCAGACTGTAACATGTTTCACAGCCGTTGTCTTCGCTGAACTGGGCTCTGTTTGTTTTTCTCTAATTCCAGGTTGTTTAGTTGTTCAGCTGGCGACCAACAATCTCCTTTAGCATAAACAAAAGGTTCTGAATTTGATGTCCTGCGGTCACTGTCTTCTTCAGAGTTGGACCAAATGAGCTGCAGGTCAAATATTATAGACGTTATCAAACAAAGTTGTCATGAGAGAGAGTTCTACACAGAACCAGAAAATTCTGACTTGTCAACTTGTATTCAGAGCTTATTGTGAATACAGTCAGTTCTAGATCTGTCAGAATCACCTGATCGCAATAATTTCATCTCAAAACACCTGATGCTTGTTTATTTGATCTTTGTTAGTGACGCCTTTAGATGGCAACGGTGAGCGACGTTTGTTTATTTGATGTCTGTTTTCTGCTAATTATCCAGTCAGAATGTAAAACAACTAATCAGTCCTGTTTAATTAGATTTAATCTTAGTTTAGTCTCTGATAGTAATTTAGTTTAATAACTGCTACGGCTCTGTTTATTCCAACTTATCAAACCTCACAAAATCTAAATATTGTGATGCATATTGTCCAGAAATATCGTGATATTACATTTTTGCCATATCATTCACTCTTTGATCGGACTTCGATCTGAACTAAAAGGCTTTTCAAAGAGAAATCATTCACAGTACGGTTCAGTCTTGGTCCTTGTTCAGGATCTCGGCTCTAGATCAGTTCGTCTGCTGTATGAACTCTACACTCGTGCACATTAAAAAGCGTTTCAATTAGAAATTACAGTTAATATTACACTTTAGCTCAGGACCAGTCTTTGTCCTCATCCTGCTGCATTGATTCTAAACTGGTTACGCATGCACAGTGAATGGGGGGTAATTATGGGATGTTTGCAAGGCGTGTGAAGTGAAGCATGCACCACTGCAGACGAGCGCGAGAGTCAAACAGTTACACATCACGAGACTTTTCCACAGGCAGCGCTGAGTCAACACAAATCCAGAGCGAGCGCGTCAGCAGCACGAAGGGTGAAATTACCTTACACGCGCGTGTCCTTCCCCAGTTCGCTGAGCACGAGCGTATGTGTCTGCTCGAGCTTCAACCAAACACACAGAAGCGCTGAACCGATTATTTGCTAATTTGTTGATAAACAGAAGGCGCGAGACTCCATCCTCTGCTCGCGCAGAGCTCCTCCGATTCCCCTCTGAAGCTGCAGGATGGACTGAGCAGCCCGCGAGAGCTCAGAGGACTGATGAAGTGCGCGCGCGCGCAGTCTCTGAGGAAGAGCAACAGCTCACACACACTCGCACAGACACACACACAGCCGCAGACACACACACTCACTCACACACACACACACACACACACACTCACACTCACACGCACACACTCGCACAGACACTCTCACACTCACACAGCCACACACACTCACACAGACACACACACACACACACTCACACAGACACACACTCATTCAGCCACACACACTTACACAGACACACAGCCACACACACTCACTCAGACACACACACACACACACTCACACAGCCCCACACACACACTCATTCAGCCACACACACACAGCCACACACACTCACACAGACACACACACTCACACAGCCACACACACACACTCATTCAGCCACACACACACACACTTACACAGACACACAGCCACACACACTCACACAGCCACACACACACACTCATTCAGCCACACACACACACACACACACTTACACAGACACACAGCCACACACACTCACACAGACACACACACACACTCACACAGCCACACACACACTCACACACACACACACACACACACACACACACAGCCACACACACTCACACAGCCACACACACACACTCACAGCCACACACACACACACACACAGCCACACACACACACCACACACACACACACACACACCACTACACACACACAGCCACACACACTCACACACACACACACACACTCACACAGCCACACACACACTCACACACACACACACACACACACACACACACAGCCACACACACACACACACACACACACACACACACACACACACCACACACACTCACACACACACACACTCACACACACACACACACACACACACTCAAACACACTCACAGCCACACACACACACACACACACACACACACACACAGCCACACACACACACACACACACACACACACACACACACACACACACACACACACTCACACAGCCACACACACACTCACACACACACAGCCACACACACTCATTGAGACACACACACACTCAGACACACACACACACAGCCACACACACACTTACACAGACACACAGACACACACACTCACACAGACACACACACACACACTCACACAGCCACACACACACACTCACACACACACACACACACACACACACACAGCCACACACACTCACACACACACACACACACTCACACACACACACACACACTCACAGCCACACACACACACACACACACACACACACACACACCACACACACACACACACACACACACACACACACACTCACACACACACACACACACACAGCCACACACACACACACACACACACACACACACACACACACACAGCCACACACACTCACACAGACACACACACACACACACACACTCACACAGCCACACACACACACACACACACACACACACACACTCACACACACACACACACACACACACACACTCACACACACACACACACACACTCACACAGCCACACACACACTCATTCAGCCACACACACACACACACAGACACACACACACACACACACACACTCATTCAGCCACACAGACACACAGCCACACACACACACACACACACACACTTACACAGACACACACTCACACACACACACACACACACACACAGCCACACACACACTCATTCAGCCACACACACACACACAGCCACACACACTCACACAGACACACACACACACACACACACACAGCCACACACACTCATTCAGACACACACACTCACACAGACACACACACACTCACACAGCCACACACACACTCACACACACACACACACACACACACACACACACACACACACACACACACACAGCCACACACACACACACACACACACACACACACACACACACACACACTCACACAGCCACACACACACTCACACACACACAGCCACACACACTCATTGAGAAACACACACACACAGCCACACACACACTCACACAGACACACACACACTTACACAGACACACAGCCACACACACTCACACAGACAGACACACACTCATTCAGACACACACACACTCACACAGACACATTCACACACACACACACACACAGACACATTCACACACACACACACACACACACTCACACACTCATTCAGACAGACACACACTCACACAGACACATTCACACACACACACAAGCAAATTCGTAGAAAGTTCGCTTCATATCAGCCTCTTTCACTCCGGTCACCTCAGTCAGGGAAGCAGCTCCTCTCTGGATCTCCTGCAGCGTTTAAGGTGGAACTGAAATCTGAAAAGAACCGGGCGGGTTGGAGACTCACTTCAGCCTGCTACAGCATGCGCCACGCTGCACCTTGACCCCCCCACCACACGAGCTGCGCTCCACCTTAACCCCCCAGATTTAAATACAAAGCTTTTAATGGCCGTGTTTACAGCGGTTCACTGGGAAACGGTTATAATGTATAAGTCTGTGAGGAGAGAGTCCGAGTTGAGTCTCGAGCCTCTGAGGTGTGAGTCGAAATTGAGACAGAAATCACTATTTGGGCGTTCATACGAGAACAAATTACAGTGAAAATAAACTTTAAAAACAGCTCCACCGGCTGACGGTGCGAATGACCACAGAGTCCAGACTGTTAGTGCAGTTTAATAAATACACAGCAGCTCCACTCAGCAGTGACAGAACTGTCTGTTTATTCATCAGCATCATAACAGCCCACTACACCCCCTAGCCACACAGCACAGCCTCCAAACCCACCGCTTTAAACCCACTCTGCTATCTGTAAACATCCTCTCTGACAGATTCTCTCCCACTGTCAATTAAAGCGATACTTCTGCAACACCCCAACACACACACACACACACACACCCCATCATCTCAAGTGTGATCACTCGAGACAAGTTTGGTATCTGAAGCTTCATTAGTCCTTGAGCTATGAGGCTAATGTGGCTAACACTGACACTGTGCCTAAATCATCACGCGTGACTCAGACAGCGTCAGTGAATACGAAGCTCGCCAACTTCTTCAGATTTCAGACACCAGAATGTGACTCCTGCACCATTCAAGGTGGAACAAAAAAATTTAAGTTAGAATTTGGTGGATTTGGTTCTTCATTCTATGGTTTCCGACATGACACGACTCTCTAAATGGACTAAATATGCAATTAGCACGATGCTAATTATTTTACGTTCCATACCTTGTTAGCTATATTAGCCTCCACCGCTAAAACTAAATAAGTAAACTTCAGATGCCAAACTAAGTTTGGATGAAGAACAGAGAGTAGATACAATTTTCACTGAAGTATCGCTTTAAAGTTTACTAGCAGAAACTAACAGATTCACAAATCTGAGTTTGTCTATTCGCTAAAAGGTTCAAGCAAAAAGAAAAGAAACACATTAAACCAGCGACAGTTCACAGACGCGCGAGAGGCGCTCGGGTTCTCCTCCGTCTCGTCCGTGAGTTTTACTGAAAGCTGCGTTGGAGGAAGATCAGCCGACGCCTTTTTGAGACTCGCTCACTTCCTTTCGTTACTGTCTGTGAAGCAACACTGTTTTTAAAATGCACAAAATGGTCAGCTTCTGCTGAGCACTCGTGAAACAGCACCGGACGTCACCCACAGCTGACCAATCAATGCCCAGGACGCCAACGTGGAGAACATCACTCCACACACACGTTACCACATTATTCTGAATGTGAAACAGTTTATTTATTACTGTATCTGTCAGTTTCTAAATGTTTACATCGTCTCAGTCCTTCACATTTCATCAAATTTTTGTCTTGTGTTTACTTATCTGTCAATCGAGTACATTAACGAGACGCAGCGCGCCTACCGTTTAAAGAGCTGTTGTGTTTAAGTGACCTTAGAGCACCCTCAGCTGGCAGTCTGAGAGCACTACACTGATTATTTGTGAGTTTTTGGTGAAAGCCCCTCCTACTAGCAGTCCGTGAGCACTGCGGCTGCGATTGTGTGAATTGCTGCATTATAGCATCCCCAGCTGTCGTTCTATGAGAACTGCGGCAGTTATTATTTGTTTGTGCGAATTTCTGTGTTATAGCGCCCCCAGCAGTCAGCCCATGAGCACAGCGGCTGCGATTATTTGAGGATTTTGTGGTACGGGTAGAGGTTGAGTGCAGAGGTGAAGGTGCGGATGTCTGTTATGGCCGTAGCTGTGGTCAGTGTTTGTGACGGAGGCAGGAAGGTGAGTTTGGACACTTCGCCGTACAGAGAGGCACTACTGCACCCCCCGTCATCTCCCTCAGCCACGGGGGGGTCGTTCTCCTCTGGACCAAAACCCACCACCTGCACAAACACACACACACACACAGCAGAATATTAGAGGAAGGAATCTCACAGTTAGCTCTGCCCACCACACTCTGATTGGTTGAATAGTGTTCTACTCACGTTACAGTGATGTTCGTGATGTTGAGGAGTTTAATTAAGTGTGGAATTAAATCACTGAACAGTCTGCAGTGAATGACTGCTTTAATACAACATCACAGTATAAAATGATACAAATATTAAATAATTTAAATAATTTAATTTATTATTATTAATCATTGCAGTAAACAGTGCAGTGAACCTTTTAAAGCTATAGTCATGCAATATAACAGTTAAAGATTATTCCATTAACAACAGGAATAGATGGTGTTTTCCTGCTCACAGTTTTCTCCTTGTGTATTAATGAGCTGATTAGTTGGATTAAATGATATATGAACCGCTGTCCTGCAGAATCTCCTCCAGCTCAGACAACACGAGCACAGTGAGAATCACAGCAGCACGAGGGTTCAGACGGTTACATAAGCACTACAACACTACAGGCTCCAGTAAACATCCACAGGGGAACGACTCTCACAGAGGAGACGTACGAGGAGCTGTTCAGAGAAAAATCTCTAAACGGACAAAATCTATATTTTATTTCCCCCTTTTATAAAGTGCAGTTATAATTTAAAGTACCAAACACTTAATTCATTCCTACATAGATCAGCATTTACAGCCTCCCTGTTTCTCTTACAGTTAAACAGTTACTGTGCTTTTAAGACTGATATATGTAAATGAGCTCTGGTTTGATTGGTTGTTTCACTCAAAGAGCAGTTTGGACTGAAATGGTTCTTATAACTGCAGGCTGAATGGGCGGGGCTAAACTGCTGTAGGCTGCTGAGTGGGCAGGGCTAAACTGCTGTAGGCTGCTGAGTGGGCAGGGCTAAACTGCTGTAGGCTGCTGAGTGGGCAGGGCTAAACTGCTGTAGGCTGACAGACAGACAAATGGTTAGATGTACTGATATCTTACATGTACGCTGAGTTTCCTGCTGGTGTCTCCTCTGTGCTCCATAAACCAGCTCACAAGCTCAGCTTTAGTCATCAGCTTCAGAGCATCAATCTGTAAACACACACACACACACACACACACACACATCAGTAACACACACACACACACACACACACACACACACACATCAGTAACACACACACACACACACACACACACACACATCAGTAACACACACACACACACACACACACACGTCAGTAACACACACACACACACACACACACACATCAGTAACACACACACACACACACACACACACACACACACATCAGTAACACACACATCAGTAACACACCCACACGCATCAGTAAAACACACATCAGTAACACACACAGCCCCACACACACGCACACATCAGTAACACACACACACACACACACACACACACACATCAGTAACACACACATCAGTAACACACACAGCCCCACACACACGCACACATCAGTAACACACACACACACACACACACACACACACATCAGTAACACACAGCCCCACACCCACACACACACATCAGTAACACATACAGTCCCACACACACACACACACACACACACACACACATCAGTAACACACAGCCGCGCACACACACACACACACACACACATCAGTAACACACACAGTCCCACACACACACACGCACACACACACACACACACACACACACACACATCAGTAACACACACAGTCCCACACACACACACACACATCAGTAACACACAGCCCCACACACCCACACGCATCAGTAACACACAAACACCCCCCCCCACACACACATCAGTAACACATACATCCGTAACACACACACACACATCAGTAACACACACATCAGTAACACACCCACAAGCATCAGTAACACACACCCCCCCCCACACACACACACACATCAGTAACACACACACACATCAGTAACACACACACCAGTAACACACACATCAGTAACACACACACACACACATCAGTAACACACACACCAGTAACACACACATCAGTAACACACACACCCACACACACACACACACATCAGTAACACACACACCCACACACCCACACACACACACATCAGTAACCCACACACCCACACACACACACACACACATCAGTAACACACACACACCCACACACACACACATCAGTAACACACACACATCAGTAACACACACATCAGTAACACACACACATACACATCAGTAACACACACACACCCACACACACATCAGTAACACACACACATACACATCAGTAACACACACACATCAGTAACACACACACATCAGTAACACACACACACACACATCAGTAACACACACATCAGTAACACACACACACACACATCAGTAACACACACACACACACACACATCAGTAACACACACATCAGTAACACACACACATACACATCAGTAACATACACACATCAGTAACACACACACATCAGTAACACACACATCAGTAACACACACACACACACACACACATCAGTAACACACACATCAGTAACACACAGATCAGTAACACACACATCAGTAACACACACATCAGTAACACACACACACACATCAGTAACACACACACACACACATCAGTAACACACACACACACACATCAGTAACACACACACACATCAGTAACACACACACACATCAGTAACACACAAACACCCACATCAGTAACACACACATCAGTAACACACACACACACACACACATCAGTAACACACACATCAGTAACACACACACACACATCAGTAACACACACATCAGTAACACACACATCAGTAACTCACACATCAGTAACACACACACACACACACCCACACGCATCAGTAACACACACACACATCAGTAACACACAAACACCCACATCAGTAACACACACATCAGTAACACACACACACATCAGTAACACACAAACACCCACATCAGTAACACACACATCAGTAACACACACACACACACACATCAGTAACACACACATCAGTAACACACACACCCACATCAGTAACACACACATCAGTAACACACACATCAGTATCACACACCCACATCAGTAACACACACATCAGTAACACACACATCAGTAACAGACACACATCAGTAACACACACATCAGTAACACACACACACACACACCCACACGCATCAGTAACACACACACACCCACACATCAGTAACACACACACACACATCAGTAACACACACACACCCACACACACACACACATCAGTAACACACACACACACATCAGTCACACATCAGTAACACACACACACACATCAGTCACACACACATCAGTAACACACACATCAGTATCACACACACACACATCAGTAACACACACACACACACCCACACGCATCAGTAACACACACACACCCACACACACACACACATCAGTAACACACACCCACACACACACACACATCAGTAACACACACACCCCACACACACACACATCTGTAACACACACATCAGTAACACACACATCAGTAACACACACACACACACACATCAGTAACACACACACACACACACACACATCAGTAACACACACATCAGTAACACACACACACACACACATCAGTAACACACACACACCCACACACATCAGTAACACACATCAGTAACACACACACATCAGTAACACACACACACACATCAGTAACACACACATCAGTAACACACACACACACATCAGTAACACACACATCAGTAACACACACACACATCAGTAACAGACACACATCAGTAACTCACACATCAGTAACACACACATCAGTAACACACACACACACACACCCACACGCATCAGTAACACACATCAGTAACACACACACCCCCCCACACACACACACATCAGTAACACACACATCAGTAACACACACATCAGTAACACACACACACATCAGTAACACACACATCAGTAACACACACACACACATCAGTAACACACACACACCCACACACACACACACATCAGTAACACACACATCAGTAACACACACACACACACACACACATCAGTAACACACACATCAGTAACACACACACACACCCACACACACACACACATCAGTAACACACACCCACACACACACACACATCAGTAACACACACACACACACATCACTAACACACACACCAGTAACACACACATCAGTAACACACACACACACATCAGTAACACACACATCAGTAACACACACATCAGTAACACACACACACACACACACACACACACACACATCAGTAACACACAGATTAGTAACACACACAACAGTAACACACACACACATCAGTAACACACACATAAGTAACACACACATCAGTAACACACACACACACATCAGTAACACACATCAGTAACACACACACACACATAGTAACACACACACACCCACATCAGTAACACACACACACACATACACGCATCAGTAACACACACATCAGTAACACACACAGCCCCACACACACGCACACATCAGTAACACACACACACCAGTAACACACACATCAGTAACACACACACACACACACACACATCAGTAACACACACACACACACACACACATCAGTAACACACACACATCAGTAACACACACATCAGTAACACACACATCAGTAACACACACACACACACATCAGTAACACACACACACACACACACATCAGTAACACACACATGAGTAACACACACACACATCAGTAACACACACATCAGTAACACACACACACACACACATCAGTAACACACACATGAGTAACACACACACACATCAGTAACACACACACATCAGTAACACACACACACACACACACACACATCAGTAACACACACATGAGTAACACACACACACATCAGTAACACACACACATCAGTAACACACACATCAGTAACGCACACACGCACACACACATCAGTAACACACACATCAACACACACACCCCCACACACACACACACACACGCATCAGTAACACACATATCAGTAACACACACCCACACACACATACACATCAGTAACACACACACACACACCAGTAACACACACATCAGTAACACACACGCACACACACATCAGTAACACACACACACACACACACACATCAGTAACACACACATCAGTAACACACACACACACACACACATCAGTAACACACACACACCCACACACATCAGTAACACACATCAGTAACACACACACATCAGTAACACACACACACACATCAGTAACACACACATCAGTAACACACACACACACATCAGTAACACACACATCAGTAACACACACACACACATCAGTAACACACACATCAGTAACACACACACACACATGAGTAACATACCCACATCAGTAACACACACACACATACACATCAGTAACACACACACACACACACACACACACATCAGTAACATACCCACATCAGTAACACACACACACACATAACACACACACACACACACCCACACACACCAGTAACACACACACACACACACACACACACACATCAGTAACATACCCACATCAGTAACACACACACACACACATACACATCAGTAACACACACACACACACACACACACACACACACACATCAGTAACATACCCACATCAGTAACACACACACACACACACATAACACACACACACACACACACACATCAGTAACACACACACACACACACACCAGTAACACACACACCAGTAACACACACATCAGTAACACACACACACACACACACACACACACACACACACATCAGTAACACACACACACACACACACACACACACATCAGTAACACACACATCAGTAACACACACACACACACACATCAGTAACACACAGATTATTAACACACACACATAACACACACACACACACACACACACCAGTAACACACACACCAGTAACACACACATCAGTAACACACACACACACACACACACACATCAGTAACACACACACACACACACACACACATCAGTAACACACATCAGTAACACACACACACACACATCAGTAACACACATCAGTAACACACACACACCCACATCAGTAACACACACACACACACATCAGTAACACACACACACACACACACACACATCAGTAACACACACATCAGTAACACACACACACACATCAGTAACACACACACACACATCAGTAACACACATCAGTAACACACACATCAGTAACACACACACACATCAGTAACACACACATCAGTAACACACACACACACACACACACACACACATCAGTAACACACACACACACACACACATCAGTAACACACACACATCAGTAACACACACATCAGTAACACACACACACACACACACACATCAGTAACACACACACACACACACACACCCACATCAGTAACACACACACACACACACGCATCAGTAACACACACATCAGTAACACACACATCAGTAACACACACACACATCAGTAACACACACACACCAGTAACACACACATCAGTAACACACACACACACACACACACACACACATCAGTAACACACACACACACACACACATCAGTAACACACACACATCAGTAACACACACATCAGTAACACACACACACACACATCAGTAACACACACACACACACACACACATCAGTAACACACACATGAGTAACACACACACACATCAGTAACACACACATCAGTAACACACACACACACACACACACATCAGTAACACACACATGAGTAACACACACACACATCAGTAACACACACACATCAGTAACACACACATCAGTAACACACACACACACACACACACACATCAGTAACACACACATGAGTAACACACACACACATCAGTAACACACACACATCAGTAACACACACATCAGTAACGCACACACGCACACACACATCAGTAACACACACATCAACACACACACCCCCACACACACACACACACACGCATCAGTAACACACATATCAGTAACACACACCCACACACACATACACATCAGTAACACACACACACACACACCAGTAACACACACATCAGTAACACACACGCACACACACACACACACACACACACACACACATCAGTAACATACCCACATCAGTAACACACACACACATACACATCAGTAACACACACACACACACACACACACACACACACACATCAGTAACATACCCACATCAGTAACACACACATAACACACACACACACACACCCACACACACCAGTAACACACACACACACACACACATCAGTAACATACCCACATCAGTAACACACACACACACACATACACATCAGTAACACACACACACACACACACACACACACACACATCAGTAACATACCCACATCAGTAACACACACACACACACATAACACACACACACACACACACACACATCAGTAACACACACACACACATAACACACACACACACACACACCAGTAACACACACACCAGTAACACACACATCAGTAACACACACACACACACACACACACATCAGTAACACACACACACACACACACACACACACACACACACATCAGTAACACACACACACACACACACACACACACACACACACATCAGTAACACACACATCAGTAACACACACACACACACACATCAGTAACACACAGATTATTAACACACACACATAACACACACACACACCAGTAACACACACACCAGTAACACACACACCAGTAACACACACACACACACACACACACACACACACACACACACACATCAGTAACACACACACACACACACACACATCAGTAACACACACATCAGTAACACACACACACACACATCAGTAACACACATCAGTAACACACACACACCCACATCAGTAACACACACACACACACATCAGTAACACACACACACACACACACACACACATCAGTAACACACACATCAGTAACACACACACACACATCAGTAACACACACACACACATCAGTAACACACATCAGTAACACACACATCAGTAACACACACACACATCAGTAACACACACATCAGTAACACACACACACACACACACACACATCAGTAACACACACACACACACACACATCAGTAACACACACACATCAGTAACACACACATCAGTAACACACACACACACACACACACACACACATCAGTAACACACACACACACACACACACATCAGTAACACACACATCAGTAACACACACACACACATCAGTAACACACACATCAGTAACACACCCCCACACACACACACACGCATCAGTAACACACATATCAGTAACACACACCCACACACACACACACATCAGTAACACACACCCACACACACACACCAGTAACACCCACATCAGTAACACACACGCACGCATCCACACCCACACACACACACACACACACACACACACACACACACACACACATCAGTAACATACCCACATCAGTAACACACACACACACACACCAGTAACACACCCACACACATCAGTAACACACCCACACACACACACATCAGTAACACACACACCCACACACACACACATCAGTAACACACACACACCCACATCAGTAACACACACACACACACACACCAGTAACACACCCACACACATCAGTAACACACACACACACACACACATGCATCAGTAACACACTCACATCAGTAACACACACACACACACACACCAGTAACACACCCACACACATCAGTAACACACACACACCAGTAACACACCCACACACATCAGTAACACACACACCAGTAACACACACATCAGTAACACACACATCAGTAACACACACACACCAGTAACACACACATCAGTAACACACACACACACATCAGTAACACACACACACCAGTAACACACACACCAGTAACACACCCACACACATCAGTAACACACACACACCAGTAACACACCCACACACATCAGTAACACACACACCAGTAACACACACATCAGTAACACACACACACCAGTAACACACACACCAGTAACACACCCACACACATCAGTAACACACACACACACATCAGTAACACACACACACACACACACACATGCATCAGTAACACACTCACATCAGTAACACACACACACACCAGTAACACACCCACACACATCAGTAACACACACACACCAGTAACACACCCACACACATCAGTAACACACACACCAGTAACACACACATCAGTAACACACACACACCAGTAACACACACATCAGTAACACACACACACCCACACACAGGCATCCACACACACACACATCAGTAACACACCCCCCCCACACACACACACACACACATCAGTAACACACCCACACACACACACATCAGTAACACACCCACATCAGTAACACACACACACACACACACACACCAGTAGCACACACACACACACCCACATCAGTAACACACACATCAGTAACACACACACACCCACACACACGCATCCACACACACACACACATCAGTAACACACACACACACACACACACACACACACACACACACACACACAGGCCTGATAAATCAATCTACCTTAATGGAGCATATTTTCAATATCAGCAACACCTATTTCGGTTGTTTTTGATAAAATGATGATTCTGTTCCTCAACCCTGTTTTAGTAGTACAGGCTTTGGACAGTTGCTACTTCAGCACACTAAGTGGTGCTGTATCCCTTTTTATTGTTTAAACAAGAGAGAAGAAGTCTAGCCATTCATTCACAACAGCACAAACCTGTTTTTAACTAAGACAGTTAACTAGACTTATTTATTCCCAGTTATTTCATACACAAATATTAGAGATGTTATTCACAAAAAAATTTTAAATCCCCCCCAAACCCCAAAAAACAAGAACTTCCCCATCAGACTACACTTTAGGCCACAGGACACTGAGGTGGACCTGCAGCATCTCACTGTTCCTGCACACCGTTAAACCCACAGGACACGACGAGGCTCTAAACCTACAACAAGAAAAGTTATACATGCTAATGATCCGTCACCTCAGCTAACGATACGTCATAACTCAGTTCACCTCTAACCTTTTAGCAGGAAATCAGATAATTGAACAGCTGATATCAAACCTGATAAAATCACTACACGATGATAAAATCAAAAGCACAACGTTTTAATTCTGTTAAATCTGTTGGAGAAGAGAGTGAGGCGTGTGGAGTGAAGAGCGTGTGGAGTGAAGAGCATGGAGTGAGGCACGTGGAGTGAAGAGCGTGGAGTGAGGCGTGTGGAGCGAAGCGTGTGCAGTGAAGAGTGTGGAGTGAGGCGTGTGGAGTGAAGCGTGTGGAGTGAAGCGTGTGGAGTGAAGAGCGTGGATTGAAGCGTGTGGCGTGAGAATCGTGGAGTGCAGAGCGTGGAGTGAGGCGTGTGGAGTGTCTGACCTCTCGGCTCAGCCTGTTGAAGACGTACTGCTGTGTGAGAACCTCAGTCCAGTTGCGGTCGACCTCCTCTCCGAGGTGAGTGTCCTCACAGCCCTTCAACTTCACCAGAGCGGTCACCTGGCTCCTGAATGCCTCGTCACTCAGGCTGGACATCTTCTCCCCAAAGCTCTGCAGGAACTCCTCGATCTTCAGCTCCACCAGTTCCGTACTGCACACACAGTTACAGTTACAGTCTGGAGGAGACCTGCACCCGGTGACGCTGGTAACAGCCCCAGCGACAGAGAAAACTCACCGCCACATGTTGGTGATGTGATCATCTACATTACAATCACAGTTACTGGACTAATGTAGATGAGGTTATTCTGTAAACATGCGCTCGGTGCGCAGGCGGATATCAGACCTACAGAACCACGTGCTACAGTGGACATTTAGAACATCCTCAGACACGGAGTCCGGATTCAGACCGAAAAACACAGGTATAGAACCACAACTCGGCTCTGCGTCATCAGCAGAAACAGCCTCAGAGAAGAAGAGGTCAGACAAGGCTGAGAGAAGCAGCGTCAGACAGTGAAGTTCATCAGAAATCTGATCTTTATTATTACATTAAAAACAGTTCAGTGGCCAAACATCAAAGACAAAATGATCACCTTTTACTGAACTGCACTTTATGATGTTCAGAGATTCCGCTTCTCACAGTCTGTAACTGCTGAGTTAAAGGGACCGTCTCAAAATTACCAGACAAAAAAGTGTTGCTATCATTATTATTATTATTATTATTATTATTATTATCATTTTATACGTTTTGATACATACTTTATACATTTCTGATTCTGATTCTGAAATCCTCACATTTGCTAACAGGTGTACCAGTTTATGAGTTTGTTTTTGTTGCATTAAAACAGACCTCTCTGATTGGTCATTTTGGATGTCAGTGAGAAGTGGACACCCTGCCAATCGACGGTAGACTCACTTGAACTTGGTGGCCTGCGTCTCCACAGTGACGGAGAACCCTAGGACCCCAGAGGTGTTTCTGCAGGTGGGATACACATGATACCTACAGAGAAACGACACAAGATGATTATATCACTGTGAAAGTCGTGAACAGGAGCCGAACGTTTCTGCACTCAGACTCACCCCAACGTCTCTTTGGTCCTCAGGAAGTCAAAGCAGGGCTCCTCCATGTGCATCTAAGACACAAACACACACCTCACTCACATCAGTGCGTCAGCGAGAGTCAGCACAGCTCCTCTAACACGGGGCAGTGAGTAAAGGGTTTAATGGCCACTGGACAGAACAATTAAAGGATAGAAAAGTTCAGGGGTAGAGCAGCAGAGGGATTATGGAGTAGAAGGGTTGAGAGGTAGAGGAATTAAGGGGTAGAGAGGTTATAGGTTAGAGGGGTTAAAGGAGTTAAGAGTCAATGTCTCACTCACCACCAGCAGCTCCATCAGTGTGTGTTCACGCAGGTTCTTCGGTCCAGACTGCAGAGAATAAAACACAATAACAATCACACTGAAGGGTTTGATTAAAGCAATTAATAATTAACATTTATTTATCTATTTATTAGCAGAAAACAGAAACACACATACTCCAAATATAAACTAATACACAGTTAAAAGCAGTTTGGAGTTTAAAGGGCTCTTGTTACCTGGTAATGAACTGTAACGTGAGGCGGCGTCTCCTTAATTATTATTTAATAATAACAAAATAAAGGCTTAAGGGGCTTAAGAGATGTAAGGGGAGTTAACCCCTCTACCCCTTTAACCCTTTACCCCTCTACACATTAATAACGTTTGCATATTAAAAGTGTGAAGCTGTTATTTGGTAAAACTGCAATGTGAGGCGGCATCTTTTTTATTTTATTATTACTTAATAATAACAAAATATAGGATTCGGGGCTTAAGAGATACAGGGGGGTTAACCCCTTTACCCCTCTACCCCTTTACCCCTCCACACATTAATAACGTTTGCGCATTAAAGTGTAAAGTTGTTACCTGGTAATAAACTGTAACCTCTGAATTGGCGTCTCCTTTATTGAGGGATTTAACTTTACACAGATGATGTTTCTGCGGCAGCTCCACCACTCTAAACAGAACAGGGACCTCTACTGACAGCTTCTGGAACTGCAGCTTACTGCAAAACACACACACACACACACACACACACACTGTAACACGCTGCACAGACCACACTCTGAAATAAGTCTGTACGTATAAATAAATCAGACTCTTACTCTGTGACATACTGCAGAAACTGCACAGACTCCTGCAAATGGACAACAAACGGCAGCTCTTTAAAGCTCTTTTACACTTAAAGTGCTTTCAGTGACAAATTCCTACATTAAGTGCACTGAAAACTGAAATATTACCTCAAAATAATACCAAAATGAATTCTGCATAAAGTTAATGTCCAGAATAAAATGATAAGGAAATTAATATCCAAAACAAAATTCAGCTAAAATAACATTCAGAGTGATGTTACAGAAAACTTAATATCTAGAATAATGTTAATATTTGAAAAGTGGTGATATCATTTTGATGAGAGGGTGGGGGCTGGTGGGCATGTACACATGATGTTTTTGGCTAAACTGTCTCTTTAAAGCAGCTCTGAAGACGTGAGTGTGTGCGGCTCCTCACCGCGCTGGTGAAGTTTCCCTGAACAAGACCCTCAGCAAACAGCTCCCGCTTATAACTGCTCACAAACTCCATCAGCTCGTCCACACTCAGCCCGTCCACCACAGCCTGGTACTTCTGGATCATGGACCAGCGCGCATGCTCAAGGATCAGCAGCCGGACGTCCCTGCAGGAGATACATCAGCACATGAGGCACGTTAATGTGCTAACATGAAAAATTACTAACGGCACTAATTGTTTAACATTAACTCGTTCTCCTAGTTTGACCCTTCGCTCTGAGTCGCTCTGAGTCGCTCTGAGTCGCTCGAGTCGCTCTCGTTCAATTACAGCATTAAACGTCTTTTGAAGTGAAACCTTCAGCACCTTCAGCCGACCATGCTGGACAGACGCTCGAGGGAGAGGGGAGGGTTTGTTCTGACAGCAATGTTACACTCTTCTTATACACTAGATTATCTGCTATCTTTCAGTTAGATGATAAATAATGAGATATTAATTAATATTAAGTATTAAATATTAGTTATGTTCTTAATAATAAATTAAAAAGACTAATATAATGCTGTAATAATGGAGTCCGACTCACTTGCCCAGTTTCTCTGGTTTGATCAGGATGTTGAAGTAAGTCTTTTTCAGCTGCTCAGCGAACATGGCAAACACGTCCGGCGCGGTGGAGAAATCGGCCAGATGATCCACAATCAGGTTAAACAGCAGCTGTTCAGAGAGAAAATAAAAACACGTTCAAAATCTACAGCTTAGCAAACCCACAGAAAACCCTCAGTGAGGGCTTAGTGGGGGTTGAGTGGAGGTTGAGTGAGGGTTTAGTGGGGGCTGAGTGGGGGCTGAGTGGGGGTTGAGTGGGGTTTGGATGGGGGCTGAGTGGAAGTTGAGTGAGGGCTTAGTGGGGGCATAGTGGGGGTTGAGTGGGGGTTGAGTGGGGGTTGGATGAGGGCTGAGTGGGGGCTGAGTGGGGGTTGAGTGAGTGTTGAGTGAGGGTTTAGTGGGGGCTGAGTGGGGTTTGGATGAGGGCTTAGTGGGGGCTGAGAGGAGGTTGAGTGAAGGCTTAGTGGGGGCTGAGTGGGGGCTGAGTGGGGGTTGAGTGGGGTTTGGATGGGGGCTGAGTGGAGGTTGAGTGAGGGCTTAGTGGGGGCATAGTGGGGGCTGAGTGGGGGTTGGATGAGGGCTGAGTGGGGGCTGAGTGGGGGCTGAGTGGGGGTTGAGTGAGTGTTGAGTGAACACTGAGTGGACACTGAGTGGGGGCTGAGCAGAAACTAAGTGGGGGCTGAGCGGACACTGAGTGGGGGCTGAGTATTTACTGACCCTGAATGATATGAAATGCTGAGATTACTCACAGGCAGTTTATGGTTGAATCCTTTGACTTTAATGACCAGGCCGTGTTCTCCTGCCACCAGCTTATACTCCAACTGAGCAACGTCAGCCTCGTATGCCGGCTCAGCAACGTTATGGACCAGAATATTCACAAACAGGTCAAACAGCACCAGACTGATACAGAGAGAGAGACAGAGAAAGAGAACAGAGAACAGAGAGAGAGAGAAAGAGAGAGACACAACAGAGAGAGAGAGAAAGAGAGAGACACAACAGAGAGAGAGAGAGAGACACAACAGAGAGAGAGAGAGAGACACACACAACAGAGAGAGAGAGAGAGAGAGAGACAACAGAGAGAGAGAGAGAGAGAGAGAGAGACACAACAGAGAGAGAGAGAGAGAGAGAGAGAGACACAACAGAGAGAGAGAGAGAGAGGGGGGAGAGGGAGAGGGAGACAGAGAGGGAGACAGAACAGAGAGATAGAAAGAGAGAGAGAACAGAGAAAGAGAGAGAGAGGATGAGAGACAGACAGAGAGAACAGAGAGAGAGAAAGAGAGAGACACAACAGAGAGAGAGAGAGAGAGAGAGAGAGAGACAGAGAGAGAGAGAGAGACAGAGAGGGAGACAGAACAGAGAGATAGAAAGAGAGAGAGAACAGAGAAAGAGAGAAAGAGAGAGAGAGGATGAGAGACAGACAGAGAGAACAGAGAGAGAAAGAGAGAGATTGAGAGAACAGAGAATAGAAAGAGAGAGAGAGAGAGAGAGAGAGAGAGAGAGAGAGAGAGAGAGAGAGAGAGAGAGAGAAAACAGAACAGAGAAAGAGAGAATGAGAGGGAGAAAGAGAGAGAGAGAACAGGAAAGAGAGAAAGAGAGAGAGAAAGAGAGAGGATGAGAGACAGAGACAGAGAGAACAGAGAGAGAGAAAGAGAGAGATTGAGAGAACAGAGAAAGAGATTGAGAGAACAGAGAATAGAAAGAGAGAGAAAGAGAGAGGGAGAGAGAAAGAAAAAGCAAGAAAGAAAGAAAGAAAGAAAGAGACAGAGAGAGAACAGAGAACAGAAAGAGAGAATGAAAGAGCGAAAGAGAGAGAGAGAGAGAGAATTATGCTAATCTCAGATCTGATCCACTCACTGAAGACACATTCGGAGCGTTTCTGTCTTACTTTTTAGGAGATTTCTGGATCTCAGGAGAGATGAGGTGGAACCGTATGTACGCTGGGGGAGAGAGAGAGAGATAAACGAGGGATTTAGAGTGTTTATATCTGTAGTTCGGTTCTCTTGTTAAAAACCAAAGCAGAAAATGATGCTGTTGTATTTCAGTTCTGGTTCTGTTGGCGTTCACACTGACAGATTTACTGAACTCAAATAGTCTTAAATAATGTAAATAAAAAACAAGCCACTCATAAATAACCTCAAAACTTAATATTTTATCAGATAATTAATATTAACTCCATTAACTGAATGATCAGCATGACCTGTGATTTCTGAGGAACTTTAATATCGGCTGATCGTATCAGTGCGACTCTGTACGGCCGAATGAGCTCCGACTGCGAGACGAGGTTCACTGTAATCTAAAACCTTCACAGTTTGATTTCAGCAGTTCAGTTACAGAGATTTTAAACTGACCCCAGTGGATCTTAAATATACAGTCGTATGCAAAAGTTTGTGCACTGAGATTTAATACAGACTGTTTACATACTGAAATTTACATATTAGCAGAGAAAAATAAACATAAAATGTGGCCTGTGCAAAAGTGATTTTTTCCCTAATATGTTAAATTCAGTAAACAGTAATTGTGTATTAAGTGTGCAGTAGCGAGTCTCTGTAGACGATGTGTAACTTATTCACACTCAGAACATCAGCAAACACATGAAATCGGATCAGTGTGTCAGAGCTTTAGCGTACGACTGTAGAGTCTGTTGTCTGGGTCTGTTAAAGCTGCTGCTACAGTGCAGAGTTAACAAGGCAGAGTTTCACAGCCTCAGTGACTCCATCACTGAGACACTGTCTGCAGCTGCAGGACGTTTCTGTACCTTTAGGAATTTTGAACTTGTTGTCCTTTTTGTACCACAGGCAGCCTCGGTCACTGCTGGAGATCCTGACCGGATAATCAGTGTCGGGACAGTCTGAGGTCTTCAGGGTAAAATCCGTAGCTTTAGAGAGAAGAGATAAAACAATGAGCACAGCGCTACAGGAGGTGTAGGAGGTGAAGACAGGAGAGGGGTAAAGCAGATAAAGAAAATGAAAGTGACGAAGGAGGTGAAAAAGGTAAATGAGGTGAAGCAGATGAAGGAGGTGAAAGAGGTAAAGACAAGAAAGGGGTAAAGGAGGTGAAGGAGGTGAAGAAAGTGAAGGAGGTGAAGGAGGTAAAGGGGTGAAGGAGGTGAAGGAGATGAGGGAGGTGAAGGAGCTGAAGCAGATGAAGGAGGTGAAGGGGTGAAGGAGGTGTTTGAGGGTTTAAAGACTGATGAACTCACCGATGAACTGGTTCTCCTCCGGGAGGTGGAGCTGAGGGTTCAGATCGAGAGCTCCTGTCCAGCGCTGCTGCCACTCCGGCTCAACATCTGCAGCACAAAGTCTCTGTGACTGTCGGCTCTCAGACACGTTTAACAAACACTCCAGCTCCTCAACTCATTTAGGAACTGCTGAGACTTTTTATCTACGTTAAAGTGTCAAAATACAACACTGTACAAACGAGAAACATTAAAAATTAAAATAATAATCAGAATCAGTGTAAGATGTAAATATTTCTAATGAGAGCCAGTAACAGTGCATTAATTAAACATCTAATATTAGAAACAATGTAATAAATAAAAAATTAATACTTTCAATGTTTTAAAAACTTGAATTATAAAATCTCAATAATAACATTTATTTTTAATAGTAGCTACTGAATAAATGATAAGCATTCTTGCTCTTAATGAGCGATTAATGCCTGCAGGTTAATGAGTTAAGTTTGGATCTTTGCTCTGTGTGGAATCTCAGATTATCTTTTGTGTGTAAATCAATTAAAAGATAAAAACTGATAAAACTGGAAGTGTTTTGGTGAAGTGCTGATTCAGCGGCTCCAGCGGATCAGAGCGTCCTCTCACCCTCGACTCTGTACTGGGTTCCGAACCACTTCTCCTTTAACGGACACTTTCCCTCGTGCTCCGGAGAGAGAAGCAGCAGATTCGCTTTATCAGGAGTTAACAGGTTCAGAGCCGCAGAGATCACCTGACAAACATCACAGCACATCAGTCTACAGATGTTTCACATCTGTACACATTCCTGAATACAGTTTATATCACAATACCTACATTTAGAGTCGGTTATTCATTCAGCCTAATGAGAAACTGTAGAACAGACTCAGTTTATATCACAATACCTACATTTAGAGTCAGTTATTCATTGATAATGGTACTGTTATAGATCAAGTTGAGTGTTTTTTGTTGTATAATTAAGGTTTTTAGGAATCAACATCTGATTGATAATCTAAGCAGAGCTCACTGTTTAAGTAATGCTAGCCAGCTAAGTTAATGTCGTAACCTACACCACAAATAAAATGTATTACTAAATTATGTATTACTATGTTTGTTAATATCTTCAGGATCATCTTCAGAGTGTTTGTACCTCAGGTTTAAACTCGAACATGAGCTGATCTCCAGTCAGGAAGTCTTCTTTAGGGAAAAGCTGCATGTTCTCACACACGTCCTCCACGTACTCGATTGGATCCGTCTGCAGGACAAACACAGCATCACATCAGTCATCATCTCTCACACACTGCACTAATGCTAATGTGGCCAAGCTAATCTCACCTGCTCCTGATAGTGGAACTCATTCGCCTCAATCTTCTGGATTTCCTCATAGATTCTGCACTCAAATAACAAAACAGGCCATCAGACTGTAATACAGGTGCAGGTCGACGTGTGTAGAACATCCTAACCTCAGAGGAGAACCATGACTTACTAGAGCTCAGCTTTCAGTTCAGACCTTAATTGTCAAAACACTGTCAAAAAATGAAAATAAAATCTATAATGATGTTGATTTCTGCTGGGATTTCTAACAGTACTAAGCTAACGATGATTCACAGGAACATTTTCTGGCTGTTCTAGATTAAATACAGACATTTGAAGCTTGTAAAAGTCATTCCATCTGTTTTACTTGAAGTTTGTAACAGATGTTATCAAATATCTGAGCTTGTATGTGTTAGTTTTACTGGGACTCTTTCAGTAAAGAGTCCTGCATAGAGCTGCCACCACTGTTTAACATTCATAACAACTAACCAGAACCTGCTTTGACTCATACTCAGAGTCAGTGACGTATCTAGAACCTCTAGAAGGACTAGAGTGTTGTTTATTCTCTTTAAATTGTGAATCAGAGTGTGATTGGTTGATTTCTCTGTCACTTCCTAATTATGTTGGTGGTCAAGCTATCGTGTAAGGCCTTCAGTCCAGATCCTGAAGTCCTGACCAATGGGAGAGCAGCTCAGCTGAATCTACCTGAATACCACAGATTGGATCATTTTCTCTTGTGGATTTAAAAATTTTTAACCCTTTAATTTCCAAACAAATCTTAACAGATAAGATTATTATTACAATACATACAGAGTTTACATACACAAAAAGATGAATCTGTTAAATATAAATAAAGTTATTAAATAAAATACAAAGTAAAAGAGCAGATTCGTTAATGTCGGTATTTCTTGCAGTGTAACAGAATTAAACAGTCGGTTTGGAGAGAAAACGGGCAAGTTTAGGTAAAAGTTCTGTACCTCTGCTGAGGGCCGAGCGTCTGCAGCATCCTCAGGTACTGAAACACCAGGTGAGCTACCTGCACACATAAACAACCTTCATTACTACAAACAAACCTTCATTACCATAAACACTTACACTGACCTCATTAACCTCTGACCTCATTAACCTCTGACCTCAGCTCCTCTCATTAGCTCCTGACTGCAGCTCATAACAGAGAATATAATACAGACTCTGGAAATCAAAATGTTCAAATATTCACTTAAGATCCCACAATACAACATCACCAATATTATCATAACATGCCATCACTAAACATTATTAGTATGATGTGTGGTATTTTGTCATATGCTACAAAATACAAAATATCAGTTTTAACTGCAAATTATTTCTCCAAAATAAAGCTCTGTTTTATTCAATAAAGTTTCTATTTATTTCATTACAGTTCAGTAGTTTGTGCAACATTCAAATAAACTTCATCCCTACAGTTTGAGGCTGTGACTCTGACCTGGTAGAAGTTGTGGAAGCCCTCGTCAGTCAGAGTGATGGAGATGCTGAAGATGGAGTAAGTGGAGTTCTGATCAAAACCTGTCTCACTGTTTCCTCCGAACAGAGCCACCGCCCAGCACCTACACACAGACACTCACAATGACCACAATGACCCCAAGTGACCACAAACAAAACCCGTGCTATTTTGATATTTTGCTTCCTGCTTCTCTAAAACGACTTCAGATAACAGGAAGCTGTTCTCCCTGCGCCACCTTAAGAAATCCAGTGTTCCTGATTCTGAGGTCTAAGTGGAGACTGTTTAGGAATATGCAGCTCCTGCCTGGTATAGTCTGCTCACCAGAGCTCAAAACAAAAAGATAGGAATGCCTTCAGAAAAGAGAATCATAACAGGCTCATAACATATCACAGAGCATGTGATTTTCTTCAAATGCCCTCTCTTGTTGAGAAACGCAAACAGCTCTGTCTGGATCTTGTTAAAGACCTGAACACGTCTGTCTGCATCCCCTTAGACAGGAAGATACAGGCTGGACTGAAAAATACAAGAGATCACTGATACCTTACATGTGCATGCAAGACTCTTGAAAAGAAACAGATGAAAATTTTACTTATTTTAGATGTTATTATGTTAATATAGTATGAATTTTTGAGAACTGTAGCTTGTATCTTCATCTTTTACTTAACATAAAAAATTCAGTTTTTAATTATATGTTTTTAAATCTGTAATGATGCTGAATTATAAGTCTATAAATAACAATGCATAAATAAATAAATCAGCAAAACACACTACTCTGGCATATATAGTACAGGGTCAGATTTAACTTAAAGTGACCACCATAACATAACATACACCACAGGTGTAGAGAGACCTTCTACACCTGCACTGTGGAAAGCATCCTGACGGGCAGCATCACCACCTGGTACGGGAACTGTACTGTTCGTGAGAGGAAATCTCTGCAGAGGGTGGTGCGGACAGCACAGTCCATCACCGGGGTTCAGCTCCCTAACCTATTGGATTTATACACCAGTCGCTGCCTGAGGAAATCCAGAAGGATTATGAAGGACCCCTCCCATCCTAGTCACTGTCTGTTCTCTCAGCTGCCGAGTGGTAGGAGGCTCAGAAGCTTAAAAGCCAGAACCAGTCGGCTCAAAGACAGCTTCTTCCCCCATGCAACCAGGCTATTGAACAGCCAGTAATCACTGCTCTGCCCAGCCCAACCCTTCCCATTACACGTACGTGCACCCACTGTACTCCCGCACTTTACTTGCATAGCTGGACTTTGAATACCTATCCAAAGACAATACTCTCCCCCTGCGCTTCCACTTAACTTCCTGTACCTTGCACTTTACTAAATACTCTGCCACCTACTGTACCATCTTCTACCTCCACACCTAGTGTGATTATTTGCACATCTACATAGCATTGTAATATCCATTACTATATATAGTATATAGTTGATTACACTCACTCTACATTCCCAGTGCAATATTATATGTCTCGGTGCAATATTATTATTTTTAAGTTATTGTGTAAGATTATATGTATATATTTTAGTTAAATTGGTTTTATCTATTCTTCTATCCTATCTATAGTTTTGTTTATCTATGTGTAAATACTGTTCTCTGCATAATTTGTGGAACTCGCACTCAAGTTTTTCACTCACCTGTGTCCCTGTACTCTTGTGATGTGACAATAAATCTGATTTGATTTGATTTGATTTGATAAATCAACTCTTGATTTTATTCCTGATGGTTTATAAGCACTTTGATGCTATGAAGCACTTTGTTTCTGTAAATAACTAGCAAAGCTGGTCGCAATAAGCTTTTCTTAACAATTAAATTTACATTACTTCTCCAAAAGCCAACTAGACAGACAGCAGACAAACTCTAGTTACTCAGTCCTATGGAGTGAGACAACAGACAACTGTGCTCGTCTGTAGAGAAATTCTTCACCACTTCTAGATTTATTCTCTTCCTATTAAAAAGACACTCTTCATCAGCATAACGCTGTAACATGTTTTAATAAAACAGCATCTCCTAATCAATACTTAACGTCCACATTACTGAGTTCCTGCACCAGGTGATGATACGAGTGAATAAACGAGACATACTTCTTCCTGAGAAGAGACAGGATGCTGCCGGCTCCTTCATGACCAATCAGCCAAGCGATGTAGTGCAGCGGCTTCACCCTAAACGCGCACACACACACACACACACACACACACACACCTCAGTTTAGCTTACTCACAAAAGGAACACTGATTTGTCCTGTGAACGTTTTTAGATGACCTAAATAATTTCATTAATGACAAACAGATCTTCAGAGAATGCTTTATATACATTTATGGACAAATCAATCAATTATTTTACAGCTATATGTGACTTTAGGGAGGAGCTCAGGTAAGGTGAAGGTAAGGTGATGGCAAGGACAGAGTGAAGACAGGTAAGGTCAGGTAAGGGAGCCTAAGTTGAGGTCAGGGTAAGATAGGGAAAAGGATGAAGCCAGAATCAGGTCACAGTAATGACAAAGGCTAGATAAGATCAGGATAAAGCCAGGGTATGGTCAGAGTAAGGCCAAGGTAAAGTCAGGAGAAGCCAGGAAAAGATCAAGGTAAGGCCAAAGCAAGACCAGGGTAAGGCCAGGATAAGATCAGGGGTAAGGCCAAGGCAAGATCAGGGGTAGGGCCAAGATAAAATCAGGGGTAAGACCAAGATAAGATCAGGGGTAAGGCCAGGATAAGATCAGGGTAAGGCCAGGATAAAATCAGGGGTAAGGCCAAGATAAGATCAGGGGTAAGGCCAAGATAAAATCAGGGGTAAGGCCAAGATAAGATCAGGGGTAAGGCCAGGATAAGATCAAGGTAAGGCCAGGATAAAATCAGGGGTATGGCCAAGATAAGATCAGGGGTAAGGCCAAGATAAGATCAGGGGTAAGGCCAAGATAAAATCAGGGGTAAGGCCAAGATAAGATCAGGGGTAAGGCCAGGATAAGATCAAGGTAAGGCCAGGATAAAATCAGGGGTAAGGCCAAGATAAGATCAGGGGTAAGGCCAAGATAAAATCAGGGGTAAGGCCAAGATAAGATCAGGGGTAAGGCCAGGATAAGATCAAGGTAAGGCCAGGATAAAATCAGGGGTATGGCCAAGATAAGATCAGGGGTAAGGCCAAGATAAGATCAGGGGTAAGGCCAAGATAAGATCAGGGGTAAGGCCAGGATAAGATCAAGGTAAGGCCAGGATAAAATCAGGGGTAAGGCCAGGATAAGATCAAGGTAAGGCCAGGATAAAATCAGGGGTATGGCCAAGATAAGATCAGGGGTAAGGCCAAGATAAAATCAGGGGTAAGGCCAAGATAAGATCAGGGGTAAGGCCAGGATAAGATCAAGGTAAGGCCAAGATAAAATCAGGGGTAAGGCCAAGATAAGATCAGGGGTAAGGCCAAGATAAGATCAGGGGTAAGGCCAAGATAAAATCAGGGGTAAGACCAAGATAAGATCAGGGGTAAGGCCAAGATAAGATCAGGGGTAAGGCCAGGATAAGATCAAGGTAAGGCCAGGATAAAATCAGGGGTAAGACCAAGATAAGATCAGGGGTAAGGCCAAGATAAGATCAGGGGTAAGACCAAGATAAGATCAGGGGTAAGGCCAAGATAAAATCAGGGGTAAGACCAAGATAAGATCAGGGGTAAGGCCAAGATAAGATCAGGGGTAAGACCAAGATAAGATCAGGGGTAAGACCAAGATAAGATCAGGGGTAAGGCCAAGATAAAATCAGGGGTAAGACCAAGATAAAATCAGGGGTAAGACCAAGATAAGATCAGGGGTAAGGCCAAGATAAGATCAGGGGTAAGGCCAAGATAAAATCAGGGGTAAGACCAAGATAAGATCAGGGGTAAGGCCAAGATAAAATCAGGGGTAAGGCCAAGATAAAATCAGGGGTAAGACCAAGATAAGATCAGGGGTAAGGCCAAGATAAAATCAGGGGTAAGACCAAGATAAGATCAGGGGTAAGGCCAAGATAAGATCAGGGGTAAGACCAAGATAAGATCAGGGGTAAGGCCAAGATAAAATCAGGGGTAAGACCAAGATAAGATCAGGGGTAAGACCAAGATAAGATCAGGGGTAAGACCAAGATAAGATCAGGGGTAAGACCAAGATAAGATCAGGGGTAAGGCCAAGATAAAATCAGGGGTAAGGCCAAGATAAAATCAGGGGTAAGACCAAGATAAGATCAGGGGTAAGGCCAAGATAAGATCAGGGGTAAGGCCAAGATAAGATCAGGGGTAAGACCAAGATAAGATCAGGGGTAAGGCCAAGATAAGATCAGGGGTATGGCCAAGATAAGATCAGGGGTAAGGCCAAGATAAGATCAGGGGTAAGGCCAAGATAAGATCAGGGGTAAGGCCAAGATAAGATCAGGGGTAAGACCAAGATAAGATCAGGGGTAAGGCCAAGATAAGATCAGGGGTATGGCCAAGATAAGATCAGGGGTAAGGCCAAGATAAGATCAGGGGTATGGCCAAGATAAGATCAGGGGTAAGGCCAAGATAAGATCAGGGGTAAGGCCAAGATAAAATCAGGGGTAAGACCAAGATAAGATCAGGGGTAAGGCCAAGATAAGATCAGGGGTAAGGCCAAGATAAGATCAGGGGTATGGCCAAGATAAGATCAGGGGTAAGGCCAAGATAAGATCAGGGGTAAGGCCAGGATAAGATGATTCCAGCTGAACTCACCTGTAGTGCTTTTCCTGAGGAGGCAGTGCCCAGGTGATTGTCAGGGCATGCACTTTCCGCACTGGAACCACTGCAGCAAACAAACACAAATGCATACACAGTTATAAACAGTCATGGCAACATTTTTTTTTTTTTAACAGTATTTTATGTTGGGCAGAGCAAAGTGACACTCAGAGTGACACTGCAGAGGAAAACAAGCACATAAACCCCCTCAAATACAACATTACTGACATTACTTCACATTACAACATTACTTCACCCTGCAGTGGAACAGTACCTCTGTAGAGTTTATTGAAGACCGGCGTGTCAAAGGGGTCCAGAAGGTCAGAAAAATCTGGTTTTGGAAGACCACTGGAACCACAGAACAACGATTATAACAATGGAAATAGTGATAATCACGCACTGCTTTGAGAAAACCTGCTAACATACTCACTTGTTTGGCACCTCACTGAAGATCTCCCTGACCCACTGCTCCAGCGTGTCCAGCTTTTCTAAAGGAGAAACAGCAGGACATAAATGGTCAGCCGGAAAATGGACAGCGGTGTTTGGTACATGGAAATCAGTCAGAAATGACAATTTCACGTTTTCAATAAAAGTGAAGAATGAGAGTATTATTCTTGGGTCAATATGACAGATTAATTAGTAGTTACATCAGAATATTCACCTCCCTGCAGATGCCTCAATGAATTTCCCTTACTGTTTACCTCACTGTCTATTTCACTGCATGTAGTTTGTCACTGCCTCTATCTCACTGTTTGTATCTCACTGTTAATTACACTGCGTTTACCTCAGTGTGAGTTGACCTCACCTTTAGACTGCACAGCAAGGGTCATGTAGTGGGCGGAGTAATGCCTCTTCCAGAACTCTCTCAGGCGTTCATAGACGTTTATTTTCTTCTTCTTTGGCTCTGTTTTCAGAGTCTGTGCATTTCCTAACACAGCACAAACACTTTAATAAGAAAATGACAGAATTTCCACACAGATCAGAATATGACTGTCAAAAGGAGCAGATTAGAATCATAACAGAGCCTCAAAACACCAGCGTTTTATTATTCATTAACTTTTTCTACACTATTTGAAAATATCAGCTGCACTTTATATTACATGATCATCAAAAGATGAATGGACAAAAAACTTTTTTTTTTTTTAAGGGACATTAGAAGAAAAGAATTTGCAGTAGTTTACAGTTCAGGCGAGAGGATCAGGTTTTGTTACGGCAGTGATGTCAGAGTAACTGCACACAGAGAGTGAACGTCAGTGTTTTCGTACCCCAGCAGAACTTGCTCATGGGGTGGTTGGGCTTCGCCAGGCTGCCGAACAGCATCTCCTTACGGTGAGAGTCAGACGGCTTAGCAAGCTGATACTCTAAAACACACACAGATCAAACAAAACGCTGCAGCAGCTCCAATACAACACTGCAGGATTCAGCTGAAGATCCTCAGATCAGGACTAAAAGTCTGGGTCTAAACCTCTGACAAAACCAGCCTAAACATTCATTTTCATCACAAACAACAGAAACTACATACTGCAATTATCCATTTATCAATTTATCTGCCTCGAGGTTTGATCACCATTTCAGGATTACCAAACAATCTACATATTTATTTTATTAGCTTCACTCTGAATATTAGTTTTATTAGAAGCTCTGTTCATTATTCTGGACACATCTATCATTTCTGCATTTTTCTTTACAATCAATTCATACGTTTTTCTGGTTCGATTATTACTGAAAACAGTGATTTGAGTCATTTAAACAGTAAATAAATCTAATTAATTATCAGACTCACCGCTGTCCACCGCCTCCACCTCGCGCTCGATAGCGTCTTTAATCATCAGAGGACAAATGAAGAACTGTGCCCACCTGACGACGACGACAACAATGTCAATGTCAACAACACCATAAACAACAACAACATTCTCAGATCAGCAAATTCAAACAGTTTTAAACTCTACAGAACTTCACATCAGCAACAGAAATGATCATTAGCTATTAATGACTTAATAATGAGTTTATAATTCATGTATAAACAGTGTCTAATGTATTATCAGTGCATAAGCTAAGCTGGTGTCTTTATTGATGACTAATTAATATGTAATAAGTTTAATTAGTGTGTAAATAATGTATTAGTGTATAAGCTGAGTATCTATTCATTTGATAGAATACTTAATTTGTAATAAGTGTAATTAGTGTGTAAGCTGAGTATATTGATTAATACTGGGTGTATTTAGTGTATAATTAACATAGTGTGTAATTAATGTATAATTAATGTATAAATAATGTATAAGCTGACCTGGTTGTTTTTATTGATTAACAATGAGTCCATTGTGCGTAATAAGTGTGTAATTACTGTATAATTAAGGTATGTGCTGACCTGTCGAGCGCCTCTCTGAAGTGTTTTCTCTGCACGTCGAACTGGAAGATGGTTCTCTCACAGTCGGTGGAGGCGTTATCACTGCCCCCATGCTTCTTCAGGAACGCATCAAAACCGTTCTCACTGGGGTACTTTACACTGCCCATAAACACCACTGACACACACGCACACACACACACACACACACAGAGGTAACAAGGTCAAAGGTCAGTGCTGAACTACAGATTGAGATCATCTAAGTGTTAAACAGTTAAACTGGTTTATCTGAACCAAAATACAAACAGAATAAAAACAAAGTGCAGTAAATATAAGATCAAACAATCACTTTCTCGGTTAATAATAATAATAAAAATAATAATAATAATAGCAATAAAAACAACAGTACTAATGAGGGAATTGATTCAGATTTTTTTCCAATGAGCGGCGCTGGTTGATGTTTGTCAGATTTTGCTTTAAGTAACAGAAAACAAAGAAAAACATAGACGAGCGGTCAGACTCACATATGAGCGCTCAGACACATAGAGCAGCGCTCAGACACGCAGACGAGCGCTCAGACAAACAGAGCAGCGCTCAGACACACAGACGAGCACTCAAACAGAGCAGCGCTCAGACACACAGAGCAGCGCTCAGACACACAGACGAGCGCTCAAACAGAGCAGCGCTCAGACACACAGAGCAGCGCTCAGACACACAGACGAGCACTCAAACAGAGCAGCGCTCAGACACACAGAGCAGCGCTCAGACACACAGACGAGCGCTCAAACAGAGCAGCGCTCAGACACACAGAGCAGCGCTCAGACACACAGATGAGCACTCAAACAGAGCAGCGCTCAGACACACAGACGAGCGCTCAGACACACAGACGAGCGCTCAAACAGAGCAGCGCTCAGACATACAGACGAGCGCTCAAACAGAGCAGCGCTCAGACACACAGACGAGCGCTCAGACAAACAGAGCAGTGCTCAGACACACATATGAGTGCTCAGACACAGAGCAGCGCTCAGACACACAGAGCAGCGCTCAGACACACAGACGAGCGCTCAGACAAACAGAGCAGCGCTCAGACACACAGACGAGCGCTCAGACAAACAGAGCAGTGCTCAGACACACATACGAGTGCTCAGACACAGAGCAGCGCTCAGACACACAGAGCAGCGCTCAGACACACAGACGAGTGCTCAGACAAATAGAGCAGCGCTCAGACACACAGACGAGCACTCAGACACAAAGAGCAGAGGTCAGACACAGACGAGCGGTTAGACACAGACAAGCAGTCAGACACACAGAGCAGCGCTCAGACACACAGAGCAGCGCTCAGACACAGACGAGCGGTCAGACACACAGAGCAGCGCTCAGACACACAGAGCAGCGCTCAGACACACAGACAAGCGGTCAGACAAACAGAGCAGTGCCCAGACGCACAGGCAAGAGGCACTCGGGCGCACAGGCGAGCGGTGCTCGAACACACAGAGTGGCGCTTGGAGACACAGAGCGGCGCTCAGATAACAGACCCACTGAAACGTGTCTTATGGTCTTTATTTAAACATACATCAGACGAGTTTTTAGTTTTCACAATATTCAGAAAAGTTGTGTAATTAACAGCTACAACACAGACGTTAGAAGGTTATTAGTGCTGATGTCAGACGGCACAGCGGCCAGTTCAGAGTGAAATACTGTGATTATCATACAGACTGACGTTCTCTGCTTATTAAACACACATACAGACTGAACTGAGATTCTGTTTATTAATTAGATAAATTTGATATTGAAACTATGGGGGGTGATGTTATATAGATATGAAATGGATATTATATGTAGTTCTGATTGTGTACTTAGTCTTACGTGTAACAGTGTGTAACCTAGCACCTAAGGGTCCTTCTACAGTTACAAGGTTAAGCTTGTAATAATAGTAGAACCCTTTTTGGTGCTATATAGGACCTTTTCTTCTCTAAAGAACCCTTGAAGAACTATCTTTTTTGAGTGTGTACTTTAGCCCGGCTCTCACTGTGAGCTGTTTATCTGCTTCTCTGTCCTTCTGTGTTAGTTTGTGCCCCCCTCGTACCCCCCCACCGCCCCCCCCCCGCCCCACATCCCACTGAACTCACTGTGCTCCAGGAAGTGTGCGAGGCCGGGCAGGTCGTCAGGGTCACTGAAACTGCCCACAGCGATACACAGCGCAGCTGCAGACTGTCTCACACACACACAAACACACACACACGTGTAAACAGTGAATCAGCTTCATCAGCCTCAGAGACAGACTCTCCACTCATAAACATTAATATTCCTCATAAAAACTGAACAGAACTCCAACATTAATCACACACAGATCAGAGCGTCTTTAAGATTATAATCAACACACTCGACACAG